CCCGGGTGCTGGCACCCGAGCCCGGGAGGGAGGAGGGGGCTCAAGGCATGGGAAGGAGTTGGGTACCTTTGCTGTGCTGGTACTCGGCGCTCCCCGTGGCGCAGTCCGGGGTGCAGCTCACCTCGATTTCCTCATAGAAATCCGACTCGGTGTCCGAGCTGCTCTGCTGCCCTTTGCTGGAGGGGGGCTCCGGGGCGGGGGGCTGCTGTCCGGCCGAGAGCAGTGCTGCCGCCGCCGAGCGGCTCTCCACCACCGTCCCTGTCCCTGGCAGCACCTCGACCTCCTCTTCTTCTTCGCCTCCGCCACCTCCTCCTCCTCCTCCTCCTCTCTCCCGAGACGACAAGGGGCCAGGTCTGGGGCTGAGGCAGTTCCGATGGATCATCTTTTCCTGTGGCTCTTGAGCGGGGCTCCCCACTGCTTCGGACAAATTAGGCACCCTCTTGCCAACTAGAGCGCCAAGTTGTGTCCCTTCCAGAAACATCACCATCTCCTTCCTGGTTTCCATTGTGCCTTTGCTTAAGGGAGGGGGGGAAAAAATCTCGATCTCTTCCCCCCCCCTCCCTCCCACTCCCGCCCCAGCCTTGTGCAAACCCAGCAGCCCTCTCCTGCCAAAGCAGAGGAGCAGGCGGTGAGATAGGGTGACCTTGTGATGCGAGCGCTACACTGTGCTGTGCTGCTCTGGGAGGGATCACCATTGCCCTCTTCTTTCTAAGCTGTCATCCTCAATGGTGCAGTCGTCATTACAGTACCACTGGTGACGCCACACATTGATTGCCAGTGGATAAATAGAAACGTCTGCCATGGGGAAGATGAAAGGAAGAGCCGGAGCTAATGGGCTAAATGCGTGATGCACCAGGTGTAGAAGCCCGAGATGGAGAGGGAAGTGTGAAAAAGAGATGCATATGGAGTTGAGCTGCAAAGAGGTTGTAACATGCGGATAGAGTTCCGCAGGGGGAAGCTTTGCTTGACAATTAAGTAGCCTTTTGATTGCTTTAAGGCACAACCTTGAAGTAAAACTGAGGCGAAGATCCCTAGCTGCATCTTGGAAGTGAGAAGATACTTACTCAAGCCTCTTCCCTCGATGCATTATTTATTGCTGGCAATCAGCTTCCGCATAACTGCATATATAAGGCTTTAAGAATCCTTTGCAAACTTGAGGATAAGGAAATGCGCTGCTAACCTTTGAATGTAGAAACAGCCTTCACTTCTCGTTCTGATTCCATATCGGTTCCTATTCATATAATTGTTATTCGCTTTATATTGACAGAGATTAAAAACGTTTGGTTACAGTTTGGAATCGCGGTTACGTATTTATTGCGTTTTACAACTGAAAAGATAATACTACTTCGCTTTTCGTAGCTGTAGACATTCCGGGGATCCGCTGTTTATCATTTACTCTTATCTCTTCCTTCACAGTTTCCATTTGTTGGCTGATTCTTGCGCTTGTAAGAAGGTTTTCCCGTCTCTTCCTTTCCCTTCCCTTCATTTCTCTTTCCCTTTCTTCATTTTAATTAATTGTTTGCATAAAATATTATCTGCTTTCAGGAGGAAAAAGCTTCCAGAAGGTCTGCCAATAATTCAGCCTCAGAGAAATTCAAGTTATCAAGGCCACAGCTTATGCCAACTAGCAGATGTTGTTAAAATAGAAATGACAAGGGCAACCATTTGGACAGCACTTGTCTGAAAATAAGGGACCTTATACCGTAAATATAGTCGCACATGCAGCCTCTTTGGTGTATTTTGAGTGCGGGAAATGTCTCATCTATACTTAATATTGACTCGAACATGTAGTGTCAGGTCGTTTTCACCATCTGTCGTAACTAGATTGTTCTAAATTTTTCTAAGAGTGTTATTGGCTAGTCAGGTTACAGAAAACATTCAGCCAATTACGTTTCCGACCCGGTAAGGAATTTACTGGCATATTTGAGGTGACGTTGCTTTGGTGGGGAGCAGGCAGCGCAATGGGAAACACGCTGGGATTTTCTTTAGAGCCCTGCGAGCAAGACGTAGTTTGAGAACGGTCACGATGCGGGGAAAAAAGCAAGCAGACAAACAAACAGGCTTCGCCATCCACTCGATGCAGCGATAAAAACGGGCTCGCAGCAATAAGCATAAATTCGAGGGGAGGAGGATGGGATTTTTTGCAGGGCTGCCTCCGCAAACCTCTCTTTCTGTGCATGCCTGTGTACACGCTCACACATACCGTGCACAAACCCACCGGGTCCCGAAGGACTGCGTGGCTTTTCATGGCACGCGTGGGGCGCTCACCGCTCCGAAGCTTGCGTGTTTCTCGACAACTCATTGCTGAATTCCCTTCCCCTCCCTTCCGCTGCCAGCCTCTGCGCCTCTGC